ATATATATATATATATATATTTTGTTTGAATAAAACAATCGTGGGAAAATCACAAATAACTAACAACAAAAATGCCACGTAAAAATCCAACAAATGTACAGCAAGACCAATTGCTATTATTTGTTTCTTTTGGAGCGGTTGTTGCGTAAAACAAAAATCACGTGCTCACAATACCTACTTTATAAAACATTATTTACTTCTTAAATCTGTAATATCATTATATGCTATTAAACATATCCCACCTTTTAAGAGATTAGATTATCTTTCGCTCCAACTTGATAAATTCCTTAAAACACTCCATCATCCCACGGAATTAGGATTATACATTTTCACCAAAAAAATTCGAACCCTAATAATTTCTCTTGTTCTAAATAAACAACCCTCTTTACTCTTTTCTATGACACGGGGATGCAGAAGGAAGAAGAATATGAAAATGGAGCATTTGTTATGTACAAGATAATACCTCTTTACCATTTATTTGTCAGATGAAGTGTTCCATCTTTTTTGTTTCTCTTCTATCTATATATTAAAATGACGTAAAAATATTTTAATTTGGGATGCAGTATCTAAATTAAAAGAAATATTAGAATATACTAGTATTCAAACTAATATATACACCACAATATTCAAATCAAAACATGCCATAATATTCTAATTTGGAATACAATATTCAAACTACAGATACCACAATTTTCTAATAGAATACAATATTCAAACCAAACATACCATAATATTTTATTGTGGGATATATTATCCAAACCAAATTAAACATAACAAATTACAATAAATTATTGAAGAATATAGTATTCAAACCAATCATACCATAATATTCTAATAAGGAATACAATATTCAAATAAAAAATATCACAATATTTTAATTTGGAATACAGTATTCAAACCAAATATACCACAATAAGTATTCAAACTAAATATAGTGTAGTATTCATTTGGAATACAGTATTCAAAAACATACTTTTATTTTTATTTATTGTATATATATTGTTTTACTTGGAATATTAACATACTTTAATAGTATACAATGACTAGTTTACTGTATAATTTTTTATTGTATACAAGAAAATAAGGACAAAGGTTCCCATAATAATAATAAAAATTATTAATTTAATGGATAACATTTTTTTATTCTTTTATTTTATGTCCAAGTTTAAAATGGATGTAGTAGAGTTTGGATTTGCTTCGTATATATAATTTCCTTTAATTTAGGCGATAAATTTGTTAGGTAGTTATTGTCCTTTGACTAATTGAATGTGTGGAGTAATTAATTAATGTGTACTACATGTAATTTTATATATGAAGTATAGTGTTAAGGGTTCTTTAGAGGGGTATAAGGTGTAAAGTTCCTAATTTATAAGTTAATACTATGAGCTATTCATTTTGTTTCTCTTCATCACTATTTTAGATATGTCAAGCTGTCTTTCTTGCTTGCACTCATTTACGTTGGCTTTAAGAGTGGAGATCATATTTCTTCCAATCTATTTAAGCGTTGGTGGAGGACTTATTTAATATTCATATTAGATATAAAATATTTAATTCAAACAATTATCACTTCTCATTAGTGATAAGTAAGTTTTCTTAACCATTTGTTTGTCAGTTTTCTTTTTATCAATCTTTAATCACATAATTCTTACTTTTTACTGTTTCTTTGGAATTTAGTTGAGGTTATTATATATGAAAATAGTAGATAATTAAAATTGCAGTTATTTCCAGCTTCTTTCCTCTTATTCAAGATTGCTGACACACTACATATTGGAATTAAATGTGCTAGGAGAAATCGCAAAGTTGGAAAATTAAGTTACTCTATAATCTACTAAATGAGATAAAAACTCGATTTCTCAAGTTTTAACACAAGAAAAGCGGTAACTTGTTGATTACTAAAAGTTCAGTATCTAATTTTATATTCGCGTTAGGGAAACTGTAAATATCATTACCAAGTCTTTTTAATTGATAAAAGACTTCATTTTTTTTGGTATAGTGACATAGGATGCATTAAATTTCCAAGTTCTTAAGTTTTCTAATATCAGTTTTCAAAGTTAAAATTAACTTTTAGTTCTCTGGCAGATGCCTTTTAACCATCATAAAACTACTATATATGTCAAGAAGTTACAATTAAAATTTGAAAACTTCACTATTTCTTTTATATTGACTTTTTAATTAATAAACGAAGCTTCATTAATTTCTTGTATGGTGATATTAAGAATGCAATAAATATTTATTTTAAGTTTCCAATATTTGGATCAATTTCAGTAGTTTTTACAAGAAAGTTGCCTAATATTTTAGGAATTTAATTTAAACTACCCAAATTTTTATATTAGTAAATAAATTTTTTAACAACAAGATCCAAGATAGTGTATTTTAAATGTATGGCTAACATCTTATTAATTTAAAATAAACCTTACTAATATAAACGAATATTACTAATATAATAGTAGAATTTGATGCAATACATGAAAAAATATGTAAGTAATCTCTAATTTTAGGGAAGAAAAATTGCACTTAGAGCAAAATTATAAGTAGATGTCTCAAGATTTTTTTATAAATAAAATAAAACCTTTTATAGTCCTCTTGGATTTGTAAATTGAAGGATTGCATATAGATGTTCATAACATGCGCGAAAGACAATAACAATCTTAGGAAGATCTTTTCTTGTTTAAAATTTATTTGCATGTCAAAGATCAAATCTAAGACATACCTGGTGAAGAGAGTCTCGTTTCAAAATTTTTCGATAGTGCGAAGACCCTATGCATATCCACACCGAGACCGATACTTGTTACTAACTCTTTGATCAACGAAACCCGCAAACAAATTGAATGAAATACCTTGTACTGAAATTTCCTCAAAAATCTCAACTCAACGATAGAAGAACGAGAAACACTTTTTTTGTAATTGTATTTTCTCTCTTGGCTTTGTATTGTACTCACACTTTCACAAAGTGAGTTTTATTCTCAAGAATTAATGCGGCAAAGTTTTATACATCACCCTTTATATAGCATCACCTAAAAACTTTTTCCCTATTTGCACTACAAAAAAAGGGAACAATTATGGCATTATTAAAGTGGCGGTTATCAAAACCGCCATTATAGCACTATGGCAAATTTTAAGCCGCCAATGATGCATCCATAAAGCGGCGATTTTAGCATAATAAATGGCGGTTTAAAACGCCGCTATTTTTATTTCAGAATTTTCATACGTCATAACATTTGAGGCCAGTAGAACCTTTGATTGGGAAGAAATGGCGAATCTGTGGTCTACGATGAAGCTCCCATAGATTTTGCTGAACTCCGCCACGGTCATGGTCACGCCTTCAGCAATTCAAACTCCTAACTCCAAATAAAGCTCAGCCAAGTCATCTCTATTTTTATCTCCTTTCTGCTCTGTATTGATTATATATTGACGTGGATCTAGGGTTTTATTGTTTGTTTGCGTTGCTCTGTCAATACAACAAACCTATTGTAATCTATTGTTCTGCATTTTGAGAGCCTATTGTTTATCAAAACAAAGGGGTTTAATGTGGTACTTTATATTCAACAGGAGATGGTATTCCTATATCTAAAAGAGCAAAGGATTTGGTGACATTGTTGGATATCAATATCCTGCCTTTGCAGGTCAAAACTTCTGAAATACATAGTGGTAGAGTTTTGTTTTTCCAAATATCCAAAATTAGTGTTTCTTCCATTGATTTGGATCGTTTCCATGAGTTGGTATTCCTAGGATGTATTACTTTCTCCTTGTCTTAAGGCCACTTCATTCATTTTGTTTACTTATCTACAGGTTATACAGAGGCATACACCATTCGGATAGTTAAGGTAATCCTATTTTTTTCTTATTAGATCTCCTAGCTTACTCTCCCCATTTAGATATAAAACTAAAACTAGTAGAAGCAATCAGAGATCTCTATTTTTTTATACAGCAGGATCTTTTAGTTGATAGAAAGGCAAACATGTCTTTGGTGGAATAGTATCTTATAAATAATCACATCAATATAGTCTTCTAATGCTGATTTTGGAAGTCCATGTAAAAGATAAACTCAGCGAAAATGTACATTGACACAAGCACACCTATTCTGGATGTGCAAGAAGTGGTATATATATTGGCTAGCTATTAAATCAAGTGAGGTATACCTGGCTTTAGAGTGCGACTGGTCCGATTATAATTTCCAGTGATCTTTAGTGACCTTGAAGAAACTGTAAAAGGAATTTATGTTTTTCCTATTGAGAGTGTATATTAATCACTAACTTAAACTATATGAATCATGGTTCAGAGACTGAAGAACTTCAACAAATCAACACGAGAATTTATTCGATTCCTCAAAACTATTGAGTGTGTGACAATTATCATAAGGTACCTACCTTTCTCTCAACTAGCTCAAGTCATTGCTATCTCTCTTTTTGTTTGCCGTTTTTATTATCGTTGAGTTTCTTTGCTTTATTGAAGATTGCAGTAACTCAAAACCTCTGTGGTAATCAAACTTTTCACTTGTTCTTTTTCGATAGAACTTTTTCTTTTTCTTTCAAGCTCAGGCAATGATATTGTTGTGCAAAAATATTAATGGCTAGGAGAAATGCATTGCTTGCACAACAGAGGAGAAATCTACAACAAGAAGGAACAATGAACCTTGAAGTACGCCTTCCTCAGGAATGGATAGACTTTCTTTATTATTAGCTTTAAAGGTTTATCCGGAAATGGTCTTTAGGTTAATTCCCTTTTGGTTTTATTCAAGGGAAGGTGCCATGGTGCATGCTATTTGCTGATGACATTATTCTAATTGACGAGACACGAGGCGGCGTCAACGAGAGGCTAGAGGTTTGGAGACATGCTCTTAAGTCTAAAGGTTTCAAGTTGAGCAGGACGAAGACGGAATACCTCGAGTGCAAATTTGGGGTTGAGCCGAAGGAAGCGGGAGTTGAAGTGAGGCTTGACTCTCAAGTCATTCCCAATAGAGGTAGTTTTNTATTCTAATTGACGAGACACGAGGCGGCGTCAACGAGAGGCTAGAGGTTTGGAGACATGCTCTTAAGTCTAAAGGTTTCAAGTTGAGCAGGACAAAGACGGAATACCTCGAGTGCAAATTTGGGGTAGAGCAGACGGACGCAGGAGTGGAAGTGAGGCTTGACTCAAGTCATTCCCAAGAGGGGTAGTTTCAAGTACCTTGGATCGGTTATTCAGGGGATCGAGGAGATCGACGAGGATGTCACACACCGTATAAAGGTGGGGTGGATGAAGTGGAGGTTAGCATCGGGAGTCCTGTGTGACAAGAAAGTGCCACCTTACTAAAAGGTAAGTTTTATAGAGCACTGGTTAGGCCTGCCATGTTGTATGGGACTGAGTGTTGGCCGGTTAAAAACTCACACATCCAGAAGATAAAAGTAGCAGAGATGAGGATGTTGAGGTGGATGTGCGGGCATACAAGGATAGATAAGATTAGGAATGAAGATATTTGAGAGAAGGTGGACGTGGCCCCCATGGAGGACAAGATGCGGGAAACAAGACTCAGATGGTTTGGGCACATTCAGAGGAGGAGCACTGACGCACCGGTGAGGAGGTGTGAGCCACTGGATGTGGTGGGCACGAGGAGAGGTAGAGGGCAACCTAAGAAGTATTGGAGAGAGGTGATCAGATAAGACATGACGCGACTTATGATTACTGAGGACATGGCCCTTAACAGGGAATTGTGGAGGTCGAGCATTAAGGTTGTAGGTTAGGGGAAAGTTGTGAATATTTCTACAACACAATAGAGTGAGACTAGCCAGTTAGGAGTTAGTCTGAGGATGCTATTGGTCATCTAGTGATGCAGAGCTTTATCTGCTAGTTTTTACTATACCATCCATCTATTTCGTATTTCGTATTCCGTATTTCGTATTTTGTATCTCTTATATTGTTGTTATTTTATTATGAGTCTATTGATGGTACTAATATATCGTCTCTTGTTGCTTTCTTGAGCCGAAGGTCTCTTGGAAGTAGCCTCTCTGCTCCTAGGGGTAGGGGTAAGGTCTGCGTACATATTATCCTCCCCATACCCCACTTGTGAGATTATACTGGGCCGTTGTTGTTGTTGTTTTAGGAAGGATTGCAAGTAGAAAGTAGATAATCCAGTGATAGAATATCCAAAACCAGTATTTTGTGAAAAACAAAATGTCTGAAAAACAAGGAAATGGTTCCTGGTAATCAGAAGAAAGGCAATAAGTGATGTTTAGTTTCTTTAAGCTTAGTTTATTAGAATATGAAGTGTTAATGACGATTATGTCCTTGGGGGTATTTTATTTTGGGTGCCTGATAAAGAATATCAAGCAGCACATAGGGGGTAGAACAGGGGAGTTTCCCTCAATTTTTGTTTGTATAATAAGTGGAATGCATCTTGTGTGAAAGTTTCATTGCAATGGCCAGATGGTAAACTTTGTAGGCTTGAAGATGCAGATCCATAACCATCCTTGTAATGCATGTCACTATATATATATATATACTACAATAACAAGATAATGTTTTCTAAGTTTGTCACATAAAAGATTGAGCTCTGTTCGACACCCTTCTACTTCTAAAGCCATGGACGAGAAGTGAAGTCAGTGGATTGCGGTGTTTGTGAGTTTGTGAAGTAAGGAGGGAATGTGTTTAAGGAAATGGTGAAAGGACGGAGAACAACAAATTGTGTGGCGGTGTATGAAACAATTATTCATTGTTGTTTCGCGCTATCCTAGTATTTGCTAGGCAGTTACAAAGATTCATCACTTGCTGAACTGATAATCTTCTTTACGTGCATATTGTTTGTGCACCAACACTTGTATAATATCTTCGTGTCTTTCAATTTTCAATTTTTCTCTCATTCTGCTGTATCCTTTTCTTTTTTCTTTCGTTTGGGATATGTTCTTTTTGAACTAAAGACATTCAAAACATATAGCAAAGCTGGAGTTGCGCTGCATAACAAGAGGATTGAATGTTGGATCATTACCAAAGGAAAGGTTTTATTAGATTTCTCTACTTGACCACCTTATTTTTGTTCATGTTAACTGCGATAGTGATGACATTTTCATTCCAGTCTTACTGCAGAAAAAAGCAAAAGATAAAAGTGTAAATTGCCCCGAGCAAATGGTACTTATTTAGCAACGTATTTCTTGCAGGTATTTGATTCAAGAAGTGGACGGCACTTGAAGATGTTCAAACGGGAGTAACAATGCGTATCATGTGTGCGGCCATTAGTCATTATTGTTAGGATTGACTTAAGTTTTCCTTTAATCTTGTTAAGTAGTAGTTCTTTGAGATTTTAACACATTTGGTATTGTGATTTTACACTACTTAACGTTCTTTTTAATATAATGAATATTTTACTTGATTTTTCCTTTATATCTGTGTCAATATTATCATAAAGAAGTGATAAACGTGTGTGTGACATTGAAAGGCAAAATTCACAGTAATAAATAAGTGAAGATATAAATAATTTTGACGCTTTATACATGCGAAACATGCCATTTCAATTAACTGGACAATTTGTATATTGTGGCGGTTTCAACAGCCACCTAAAACCGCCGTTATACAAACTTGTGAATTATGGGCCAACGTGATTTCGGCGGTTCGAAACCGCAAGAGGTAACCGCCGCAAATACCTCCTATTTTTGTAGTGAATTGGTTGAGGTAATGATTTACTTAGGGTAAAAATTTATTCCAAAAATAAACTTTGTACAATTTTTTCATAAAAAATCGAATCCCATTCAAATGGGTTTGTGGCTGCGGAAGATGGTCAAATTTTCCAACTCAAAGTTGGAATCTGTTGCTCGTAAACTTTTCATATTAATCAAATGTTAATCCTATTACAAAATGGGATGAAATTGCGACATGTACGTTCCTTTTAGAATCCAATTCCAATTGGATTTCACGTCTTCATAGGCTTTCACGTTGCTAATCCAATTCAAAATTGGATTTAGCTAACAAGTCCTTTATTAATAGTCTATATAACATCTTTTATATAAAATAAGTACTAATTTTATATCACATATATAGTTAACCAATAGATATAGTCTAATTTTCTATTCCAAATAGAAAACTTCAATTTATTTATAATATTAATTATATCCTTTGTGCTAGCAAAAAATGTAATAATATTTCATTTGGACTAATAACTTCATTTATTTGACTAATTAAGTTCTTTAATTCAATTGTCAAATAATAAAATAATTAATCCTTTTGCAAAGATCAGAACACTCGTTAGTGTGCGACCCCATAGGTTCAATTCTAAACCGATAGTAAATTAATCACATCAATATACCACTCAAGGGTGGCGTCTAGCAACACTCCTTAACGACCATATATAATGAAATATACAATTTACTCTCAAGAACCAGTAGAAGAATAATATAGTAATTCCTTCTGTCCTTATAGCTCTAGGTCACCCTAGGATATGGTTCAACTGTCAAATCCTAATAAGCGACCAACTATGTGTTCATATCAAATATAATCGATCACTGAATGACCTAAGAAATCTTCTTCTTTTCATTCAATTATCCTGGCCAAGGTCTTAATTTGGTCGTTTATAATTCATGACAACATGGAGCTTAAACTCATTACCAAGAGTTGACAGATTCCATCTTGATCAATCACTAATTCTACAAGCATTTAATCATACCCAATATCCTTTCAACTATCGCCCTAGGGCCATAGTCTGGTATCAAAGCACAATAAATAACTTGTCAATTATTATGACGATCTCAGGTCAAAGGAAACTTTTACATCACATTCTTCAAGAGAATATCCTATTGACAGTTTATGGTAATTCTAACCATTAGAAATTATCCAATGAGTCAGTGCAATGATCATATCTCTATATGCATCATCTATCTATGTAATTTAGTTAATGAGATCAACTAATCTTTATCACATAAAGACGATCACATAAATATTGATCTAACTGGATTACTAATGTCCAAATTAATAATCCTACGATCAAGAACAAAACTTAGATTAAATTGTAAGAGACTTTACTCTCATTATCATGATCTCCATCAAATTACAAGTCTCAAAATTTAATCAAGGGCCTTATTAAATTAATCAAGCAATTAATAGTAACTATGATAAAAGAATATCAAATGCCATATATTTTTATATCAAATAACGTTCACAAAAATATGTTCAAATTATCAAATATGAGAATGGATCTAGGGCATATCTACTATATCCCTAATAATCTCCCACTTGAACTGAGCCAATCACTCTTGTACTTCATTCCCAATTTCCACTTGTGCTTGTCAAACTCATTTGCGCCAAGAGCTTTAGTGAATGGGTCTGCAACATTTTCCTTTCCATCAACCTTTTGAATCTCGACGTCTCCATGTTCAATGATTTCTCTTATCAAGTGATACCTTCGTAGAACGTGTTTGGATTTTTGGTGTGATCTTGGTTCTTTTGCTTGAGCAATGGCTCCAGTATTGTCACACAACAATGGAAATGAACCTTTTATTGAAGGAACCACACAAGTTCAGTTAAGAACTTTTTCATCCATACAGCTTCCTTAGCAGCTTCACTAGTTGTTATATATTCTGCTTCAGTCACTGAATCAACTACTGTAGCTTGTTTGGAACTTTTCCAACTCACTGCACCTCCATTTAAGGTGAATACATAACTAGAAATAGATTTGCTATCATCTTTATATGAAGAGAAACTTGCATCAGTATAATCTTCAAGTTTCAACTCAGAATCTCGATAAATGAGGAATTGGTCTTTAGTCCTTCTTAAGTACTTAAAAATGGTCTTCACCACCTTCCAATGTTCCTCCCCAGGATTTGCTCGATATCTACTAGTCACTCCAAGTGCATAAGCCACATCAGGACGTGTACATGTCATGGTATACATGATAGCTCCCACTGCACTAGAGTATGGGATCCTACTCATGCGTTCTCTCTCTTCAGATGTTTTAGAACAATCCTCCCTACTGAGAGTAACTCTAGTGCCTATTGGTAGATAGCCTCTTTCGGAATTATCCATATTATACCTTTTCAAAATGGTATCAATGTACAAAGATCAGAAAAGTCCAAGCAGCTTCCTCGATCTATCTCTATAGATCTTTATTCCTAATATATAAGCTGCTTCTCCTAAGTTTTTCGTGGAGAACTGTTCAGATAGCCAAATCTTGGTACTTTGCAATACCGGTATGTTATTTCCTATGAGCAATATATCATCAACATACAATACTAAGAATATAATTGTGCTTTCACTAACTTCTTGTACACACAAGGTTCTTTTCGCATCTAACAAAATTGAACTTTTCAATTGTCTTGTTAAAGCGAATATTCCACTATAGTTTTATATCCTTTGAAGGTTCAACTAAAGTCCAAACTTCATTTTCCTTCATGAATTTCATTTCGGATTTCATGGTTTTTTGCCATTTCTCATAGTCAAAACCTTGTATCGCTTCTTCATAGGTTTTAGGATCATCATCATTATGATCAACCTAATTTGATACATCATCTTGTACCATTAGATTTAATATAGTTTGGTATGTGCTGTTCTCGTGTAGACCTTCTAAGAGGTTCTTGTACAACTTTCTCACGTTGTGTTGGATTTGATTGTTGTTCAATTTGGATTAGAACTGGTTCATTAACCTGTTCTTGAACTTCAACCGTTGAAGATGACAACTTCTTTGTCAACTTCAAAACATCCAATAAAGGTTCTTCAACTTGTGTCTTATGATCTTGATTTTGTATTGATTCATTAGTTTCTTGAACTTCACCAAGTTTTATTTCTCCTCTATAATTTCCTTCCAAAAGAAATTTCCTTTCCAAAAAGGTTGCTCCTCTAGTCACAAACACTTTATGGTCATAAGGGTAATAGAAATAATATCCCATTGTTTCTTTGGGATACCCAATGAACCTACACTTATTAGATCTTGAATCAAGTTTATTAGACTGCAGTCTCTTAATATAAGCTGGACAAACCCAAACTTTAATATGTTTAAGGTTAGGCTTACATCCTTTTCATATCTCATATAGTGTTATAGAGATTGACTTAGTGTGAACTTTATTAAGTAAGTATGGTGCTCCTTCCAAAGCATATCCCCATAAATTCATTGGAAGATCAGTGAACCCCATCATAGATCTCACCATATCTAATAAGGTTCAATTTCTCCTTTCAGACACACCATTGTATTGTGGTGTTCCTAGAGGTGTCCACTGTGAGAGAATCCCATTCTCTTTGAGATACCTAGTAAAATCTTCACTAAGATATTTTCCACCTCTATCAGACCTTAGTGCTTTAATACTTTTACCGATATGTTACTCAACTTCACTACGGAACCTTTTGAACATTTCAAAAGATTCAGATTTATGTTTCATAAGATACACAAATCCATATCTTTACATATCATCAATGAAGGTGATGAAGTAAGAATATCCACCTCTAGCTTGAATTTTCATGGGCCCACAAACATCTGCATGAATTAGTCCCAATAATTTAGATGCTCTTTCTCCACTTTCAGTAAGTGCAGATTTAGTCATTTTTCCTTTGAGACAAGATTCCCAAGTTGGATATGATTTAAAATCATACTTATCAAGGTGCCCTTCCTTGTACAACTTGTTAATTCTTTTCTCTCCAATATGACCAAACATATAATGCCAAAAATATGTATGATTTACTTGATCATCCTTTTTCCTCTTCAGACTAGAAACATGCATAATCGAATTTGCATTCACATTAGGTAAGACAAAAACATCATTTTGGAGATAGCCATTCACGTATAAATCATCACCAGAATAAATAGAGCAAATACCATTGCCTATGTTAATGCGAAACCCACGCTTGTCCAACATAGAAGTTGAAATTTTGTTCTAAACGAATTTAGGAACTTAATAACAATCATCTAGCATAAATCTTTTGCCCGAAGGCATTATTAAAGAAATTGATCCTACAGTTATGGCTGCAACTTTTGCACCATTTCCAACTTGTAGATTAACTTCTTCTTTCTTTAGTCTCCTACTTATCTTGAACCCTTACAACATATTGCAGATGTTATAACCACTGCCAGTATCTAATACCCACAGTGACGAATTAGTAGTAGCTAAAGAAACCTTGAAAATATTTTTTATTAATGTCTCACCTTATTTCTTTTCCTTTAGAGTTGCAAGATACTCCTTGCAGTTTCTCTTCCAATGCCTTTCTTCTTACGGTGAAAACATTCAACATCATATACTGACTGCAAGATCAAATCTTCAGAAAGCTCTTTACCAAGCTTGTACCCCAACTTCTCATGTTCTTCGGTAAGAACAATCATATGATTGACAAATGGTCCAACTGAACAGTTTTCAATGTCCAACTATGTATCAACCA